GCCATTCAATTTAATGAGCATAATTACTGTATGTCTTATAGTAATGAATTCCTTGCTAATCTTAGCCACACAGGGAAGAGTTGGGACATCTATCACCAATATTCATAGCCAAATCCAATAGCAAACAGGATTCCATGCACCCCAAACTCACCATTGAAAAAAAATACCTAAACATTTAATTTTTCATTGACAGGAGGGAGAGAGGCATTCTTTTTTTTTCTGAGGACAGTTTTTCTTGCAACAAATGAAGTCACTGAGAAAAATATGGCTGAACACCATGCAACAACTGAGTAAAAATGGAACATTTCCCGCACACCCGGCCTATCTTCAGGAAAGGCCCTAATCCCCAAGGGGGAAGAGACTTTAGCTGAACAATCAGAAAACTGGCGTGCTTTGTGATGTTTATGCTGCTGCTTGTTAATGGATCCCCCTAAAGAAAGCAAAAGGGCTCTTACACAATTGAGTAGGCTATCATGGGAGTCTTCTGAGTGTGCCTTTTTTATTTGCTGCAGTCAGGTTAATGAGCTCACCAGCCCACTTGATGTTGAGGACTTTGGAACAAAGCAATCTCTCATTAAATGCTGCTTGGCACCACTCTCTTGAAGCAGAGGGACATTTGGATTATTGAATGCCTTTGTATTCTTCCTTCCTACCAGGCTATGGAGTCCAGCAGTGGCATCAAGCCCACACACTTCCTGGCAGGCATCCAGTCCTCCGCCTTCAAGCTGTATGGGCATTTGCCAATCTCAACTGCACTGGTAGGCAAACAAGCATGGCACACGACTGCTTTGGCTGTTGGCCAAGTTTGTGCAGAACAATTGCCCTTGCTTTTCTTGTACAGGGAGACACATTCTTTGCCTATTCTGCTCCATTCAGCTGATTTACATGTCAAAGTTTTGTTATGATACAAAGGAATGTGCATTTATCTACATTTTCTTTCTTCTTTTACACCTTTTATTAATCTCAGCTGTGCAGGTCATGAATTCATCAGTGGCTTTATTTAAATATCCTCTGCCTGTCAGTTTCTTCAGGGAAATGACCCTAGAGTGTTATCAGTTAGCTAGCAGGTGGGTCTGGTTATTCAGAATCTCACTGGCAACAGTACATCCTGGGTGAGGTGCAATCCATGCATGATCCAGCCCTCCCTGACATTACTCAGGAGATTTCCAATGGTTCAGCTATGAAGGCAGTTCTTGCTACATTCTACTCAGCATTGTTCTGCAGAAAGAAGAAGGGAAAACTCTTGAGTTTTAGGGGGGAAATCAGCTTTAACCTTGATACTAATAAAATGAAATAAAGTAGGTGCTTTATACATGCTTGATTTTTTTAAATTAATGGCTCATCAATCATAGGAAAGAATGTAACAGAAGTAAAGAAGGAAGCCTCACATTTGCAGCTAGATATGGACTATGGTTTGGTTAATCAGTCTACTCTCACTAAGAATAATGAGAACATGACTATCATCTGCACTTTCTTTATTCCTCAATAGTTATTCTTTAGAACTGATCCACAACTTTAACCTAAAGTTAAAGACTTGGGCAAACTCTATCATTCTTTCAAGGTCTGCTTTGAATAAGTCTTGTACCAGAGACAGGATATAACTTGATCTTTTGCTGCTAGAATAGGCTGCACTAGGAGAAATGAACCAAATAGTTTATCAAAGGAACAAAAAAGTATAAAATAATAAAAAAATATGACTTCTGATTTTTTTTTGGTACAGATATAGATAAAAATACATGAAACTCTGACTCTAAAATTAAAAGTGGTCCACATTATTTCTTTAATCCCATATAGTTTTAATCATCACATCCCAGAATCACAATTTCATCTGTTTCAGATTCTCAGAAACATTCCAAAAGTGGTTTCCAGGTAGAAATAAAATTGATCAAAATCTTTCTTTAATCAAAGCTGTCAATTTTGCCATCTCTATCAATTCAATCAGCTTAACCATAGAAACATAGTTTGCATCTATTCTTCATTGTAGGTATTTGTAAGTCTTTCCACTTTTGTGCACATATAGGAATTTTGACACTGTTATCATATGTAAAAATAAAATTCCAAAAAAAATCTTTTAATCTATTTGTCCATTAATTCCAAAAGGGAAGTCTCTAGTTTCAAGTGTATATTTACTTTTAAAATCTTCTGAATCAGAATACAACATTTTCTTATTTCTTACACATCCACCAAATATGAAAGAATGTACATCAGTTTGGTTACATTTTGAACAAATATTTGAAATCCCATTAAACATTTTGACCAGGGATACATCATTTTATAAATGTTCTTTTTAAGATTAGAAATCAATGTAAATTATAGTCCTTTATTCTTCCACATATCTCACATTAATGTAACTATATTATATCCAATGTTTTTGTCCATTTTACAATACAATCTTTAACTTCTTTTTTTAATTGAAAAATTTTACAGAAAAAAAAGATTCCCCCCCAATATTCCCCCCACCCTTTCCCTCCCCTCCCCCCCAGACTTCCCAGAGCAAAATACAAGGTATTTCAGTTAACAATCATAAGCTAAATTAACCTATCTATCCTCAGACTATCTTTAACTTCTTCATGTTCTGTTTCCAAAACTGTTTCAGAACTGTTTCCAAATTAACAGTTTATGCATCTTAGTATTATTATGGTCATCATTTGTACACAATTCCATATCAGTCTCTTCTTATCAATTTTTTCCATTAAGTGAACATAAGAAAACCAGTGACATATGTAAATTTCCAATTCCAAATCTTCTCTTTCTTTTAACTTAAATTCTCCTTCAGAAACAATCAAACATCAGCATAAGTTAACTTTTTTTGTTATTATTTCTTTAATGAAGAAAGCTTCTTGGGGTGATGTTAAACATGATCAATAAAACTGAAGTTGTTATTTTTGCAATGTTGAATGTTTCAATATCTTTTGCTATCTTTGAATGAAAATACAACCTTTTTACCTGTTTCTATTGTATCTACCATCTTGCTTATTTACTAATTTTAATTTTAGCTAATAACAAGTTACTGAATATTAAATAATAACAGCAACAAAAGCCTTGATCTACTATATGATATAAATAAAGGGGCTAGGATTTAATAAGTTGTCTTCAATTTAAAGCTCTCCAAATGTATTGGAATGCAATTGTTGATGACCTAGTCAGCATACTATAAGCCTATATTAGATAAAATAAGCTACTAGGAACACAAACTAATTTAGATGCTACAGCACTGCTCTGGTATATTTGCATTTAAAAAGGCACAACTTGGTCAACTTTAAAAGAATAAGTGAAAAATAGGTCCTCATAAAGTATATTATAATGATTTGGCTTTGAAATTAGAAAGAGACAGATGATAGATGTGTGACCTAATTGGGGAAAAAACCCAAATACCCAACAGCAATGACTTTGCATTTTCACAAATTGATGAAAATATCCAGTCCTTATCGTTACTAAAACTAGAAGTATCTAACTAAAGATGCAGCAGTTTGTTGATTAAATATGCATATGTATTCCATTATAGTTACCATATTATACAAATGATATGAATCATAAGATTTTACATTGTTAAATATGAAATTTTGCATATTAGATATATGGGGGTGGGGGAGAACCCTTTTCAGATGTTAAACAGTTCTTCATTTTCCACTAGTGAAAACCTGAGTTATTTTCATGGCAGCTAACTTCATATCATGTTAGAAATCTATCTTTAGTCAATTCTAACTGCTCAGCAAAACTATTCCTTTTATAAGTATCCTGAAATTTAGGCATTTTGAAGGTGCCTTTGCAATGATAATCATATATAAATACATCCATTTTATATACTTTTCCAATACAAACCACCTGCTTAGAAGTATTATTGCAGGAAGCTGGTTATTAAGACCAGCTGCCTGCAATTACTGCAGGTTCGAATTTTGCCAAGGCTCAAGGTTGACTCAGCCTTCCATCCTTTCTAAGGTAGGTAAATTGAGGACCCAGTTGTGGGGGCAATAAGCTGACTTTGTATAAAATATACAAAAGGATGAAGGCTATTGCTGAGCACATTGTAAGCCGCCCTGAGTCTCCGGAGAAGATCGGCATATAAATCAAATTTTTAAAAAATTGGTTTAATGGAATTATCCCTAGTTAAGTATATAAGATAGACATGAAAATTTGCAAATAATACAAAATGAAATTAAGTCATATCATATCTGAAACTTTTGGTGGGGTTAATGAGACAGAGACAGAACAGAATACCATGGACAGCAAGAAAATAAAATGTAAGACTGAGACCAGTGGTGACTCTAGCACACCTAAAAGATAGGTAGTGTGGCTGCCATCTTGAATTTTTTGACCACACTCTGCAGATGCCCCTGGCTGAGAGAGTGTTTGCAAGGAGATTGATTAGAAATGATATGAAGTGCTTGTGTATAAACTGATTGTGTATAAGTGCTTGTGTATAAGCTGATTGCAGTACAGTGTTAGAAAAGAAAAACTAATGAATTTTTAGATTATTTGGAGCCATTTTAATTTATTAATGCATTACTTCAATTTGTAAAGTAACTAAAACTGTTTCAGACATCTCTCTGAATCTTGGTTTTTCCTCAGTTGTTGCTTAGTTTTCAAAAAGATTATGTCACAGTTAGTATTTCTTTGAAAGCTGCATTTCATTTGTATATAGCATTATTTTTATGTTTGACATCTTCCATTTATCAATTTATCATGTGAATGTACCCATCTTTAATGTCTTAGAACCAAAACCAGTTTTGTAACTTTATGCACAGATAGGCTGTTGGTCTGTAACAATTAAAAAAAAATCCTTGAGTTAGTTCATTATTTCCTAATTTTCTCTGTGATTATTCTACCACAATCCAAGTTTGTTTAGTCCCCATTTCTGTGGGATCCTTTCTTTGTACATCAAATTCATCTATAAGGTTTAGAGTGAAATAGATTTGCTTAGGTCCCCCATATTTGTAAAGCTGATGTTTATTGTTTGGAATCATGACTGCAGATGCTGATTTACAAAGATGGATTGCAGGATCCTCTGGTCCCAGTGACTGACCCAGATTCGATCCTGCAACATTATCCTAGGACAGGTATGTCTGCCTTCATTGATGCAAGATGGATTCTTTGGAGAGCCTGTTCTTGATTCTTTCTTTCTCTCATGCCGTTCAGCCAATTGTGCTTTATATTCTCTTTTCCAAAGTTAAATGCTGTTATCTCTTATATTTTTATTTCACGGGAAGAAAATATCTGTTCAGGATCTACATTTCAGTTTGTGTTTAATATATGTGTTTTCTGCTTACTGTTGTTTGATGTTGTTTCAGAGGGAAACTGAGCTAGCATTTAAGATATCTTCTCATACTCACAAATGCTTCTCATAACCCCTTCATCAATCCACTTTCAGGTAATTTATAGGAACAGAACAAGCTGCATACCTCCAATACCCAAAAGAAATTGCCACCTATTATGTAATGGAGATATATACATCCACAAGCTTTGTATATCTTACGTAACTTAAAGACTAAAACATTATTTGTTTAAAAGCTAACCAATCACCTATCCTTGTTTCACCTTTGTCCATACATAATAAAGAATCCAGTTTTTAGCATAGTAAATGATAGCATAACAGCAGAATTGGAAGAGAAATAACTCCTTGAAATATGTGACTCCTGAAAATGCCCAAAATAAAAACCTTAAAGGCTGAAACAAGCTCTGAGAATAAAAGCTCCAAAGATGGCTGACTCCTCCCTCTTGTCTACATTATCCACATTTTCCTTCTGCACAGATCACATCAAAAGTATAGATGTGCTCGTGTATATATGTCACAAAAGGCTGGCTCAATATTTTCAATTTATGGTGTGAATTCAATATTTCTATTAAAGACAGACTTGTTTCCTCTTTATGCCCTTGATTAGGTAGTTGTCATCTGTAAAAAGACATATCAAGGGTCTTTTACAAAATCCCATGGTATTTTTCTAATCAACAACAATAAATTCTTTTTCATAATTATTCAGCAGCTTAGAGTGCTATGGAGTATGTTTGTTTTGCTTTGGTTTTATGTTTTGGTTTGTGTTTTTGCATGTTTATCTGGTTCTCTTGTTGAAGGGACAGAATTTACATGAAAATAATGCTTCACCCAATTTTGGCCATCTTGAGAATTTTAAAATGTAACTTTGGTAAGCACATTTAAATTATGTGTATATGTACATATATGCTTTGGTGTATGGTATGTATATACACAGATACAAGGAGGTATCTGCATGTATTGTGAAAGTAATCATTTATATGAAGTGAAACTTGTTTCTCTGGTTTTCTTTTATATGTTCTCATTAAAATCTTAGTACATTTTCCTTGTACATAAGTGGAAAAATAATAAATGTCATAATATGCCATGCAGTCACAGTGTCTAGGTTTGTAGCAATAAGGTGGAAGCAATGATACATAAAACCTCACAGTGGTATCTACTATCAAAAGATAGATTTTATTAGGCTATTTTTAGCAAACAGGTCTTTGGCTAAATGAGTATTTATCAACCTTGGCAACTTTAAGATGTGTGGACTTCAGCTCTTAGAATTCTGGGAGTTGAAGTCCACACACCTTAAAGTTACCATGATTGAAAAACACTGGATTAAAAGGATGCTGCCTTCTTGGTAGAGAGGCAGGAATACAAACTATGGCTAGCAATACAGCCTTGAGCAAAGAGAAGGTGTGAACATGGGCATTTTTTTTTCCACACTACTAATCAATATTGCATTAATGACTCTCGCATGACCTTTAACCCAAGAAGAATACCAATAGTACAATGCTGCAATGGGCCGTCTGCAAGGACTGGCTAATGTAAGCTACCAATTTTATAATCGATCAAGATTCATCTTTGTGAAGAAAGCTTGCAATCCCAAAAAAGAGCAGGCAATTTTGGAATGGTCGGGACGAAGGTAATATTTACTTGACCTCTGCTTTCAAATGGACAAGGTCCTTATTGACATTAAAAAATCGCATATATATATATATATATATAGTATATAAAAGAGGCTCTCATCCCCCCTCCCCAACATATTTTTAGTAAGCCTTTGGGCATTTTCACTGTCCCTAAAAGAATATGGTTGCATGGCAACCTCTATGGTTGCTATGGCGACTCCATGTGTAAGCAGCTGCTGCAATCAGAATTAACTCCGAGCTGCAGGTTTGTCATTCCAATGCACGGAAAAGGGAAGACAAATAGACAGCACACGGCTGTAAAGGGAAACTCACCTAGATAATGTCGCTCAGAAACATATGTTCAACAATTATTTTTCCTCCTATGTTTTATTGCCACAATTACAGCTAAACTAAAATTGCAAAATTATATGGTTTGAATTTGCTACCATTGACTATGTTTTAAGTCCATTCAGAGTAAACCCATAGTTCATTTTTGAGCCAAAATAAAGCAAAAAAATAAGTCATCTGCCTGGACCCTACAGAGGGTGAAAATAAAGAACTAGCCAGAAGCATCATATGACAGAACACAACGTCCAAAGTAAAACTATGGCTTTGTATGCAAAACTACCTTTGAAATCTCAGCTTTGTTTGAATATGTTTTTCGTTCACAGAATTTCATGAAAGTATCTCCTAATGCTGACTATCAAGCTGAAAGACCAAGTCACACTTGTCCAAATGTGCTGAAATTTCATTTCCAGCTCTTTCCATTATGTGCTAAGATTGAGAATATTAGGACTACTGTACTATATCTGGATTGCAGAAATCAGGATGACCAGTTGAAGGAAGCCAAGAAATGCAGACAATTCATTGCTGCCAATTCCAATTTTTGTGATTCAGTTGTGGTAATCCAGGGGTTGTGATATCTACATGATCACTTAGAAATAATCACTCAAAAACAATCAGGCATAGAGGAAATTGATCTCAAAAATCAGTATAGCTTAGGCTCTATAAATACATGCTTTTCTCAGTGCGTTTTTCATCATTAACATTCATAAGTATATATCAACACAAGGTTACAGTTGTATCACAAGTCAAAAAATATATCACATACCTTGAGTACTTTTCATTTAATACCTGGCTAAGATAATTTGTATCATTTCTCTAAATTGCGACACAAGTTATAGCTTTGTTTTCCTTTAGAACTTCATTAAATATCGAATATGAAAAGGTAGTTTATTCTCTAAAAGTCTTGACTGATAGCAATTAATATAATTCCAGTATGACGAATTTCATACTTCTTATTTGCTTTCCATTCCACTACCTTGTTGTTTTTTTTTATTTACTATCTAATGCTACATTTCAATATATTGTCTGTGTAAATGTGTTGGTGGGTTTTCCCACCTCCTTACAAGTAAAAGTAAATACATTCAATGATATAGAAGAAACCTATAGATTATATAAAAATGGATTGGACCATTTCATTCTGTGTGCTAGATTCTATTATATTTGTGGGCCAGGATCATTTGAAAAGATAAATGATAAATATTATAAAACAATCTGTAAATCAGAGGTCACATTTCAGTTATAAATAACCAAGTAACACATATTAAACAGAAAACCTCTGCATGTTTATTGGAAGGCAATTCTCAATGGCACCTACACCTGCATAGGTCTGCCATATTTGTATCATCCTGAACACACTTCAACTAATAGAAGAATCCTCATTGCATACAACTGAACTCTTTCTACATAGACATGCATAGACTGTGCTGCATATCTAACTCATTAGGTGGGATTTCACACACTTATAACTGGGACACAACAGCAGTCTGTGCCATGATTAAAATAAATCAGCTAGAATATGTGCACATATGGCTTGCTATTTTGGAAAGGAGAAAAACAAAACAAATACAGTTTGAGTAAATAGAAATTCATTTGGTTGGTATGATGTATTACTTATGCTAATATTTATGTACCTCATAAAGCAGTCCATTATTTTTAAATATATAGAGCTCCCTGACTCATATGCAGCTTCTAATATAAAGGTTATGCATTAATGTAGGTTACCATAATTACAATGCGAACACACAATAACCAATTTTAATAAGTTCTTCTGCCCAGATTCTTACTAAAACATATATTGAAATATCTATGGAGCATATTGGCTTTTAAACATAACAGAAAGTATTATCCGTATTCAAAACAACTAGACATAGTGTTTATAGGTTTCTTCCTGCCTTGCTAAAATAGTGGATATTTCTACTTCAGGACTGTGAGGTGGAAATTGTAGGATATAAGCTCTTTCCTTCTACAAATCCATGCAAAATTATGCAGTAGAAATATGAACTCTGTGCTACATACTACTTCAGACAATATTTGATTTCTCTGAACGCATTATAGTCTATAAACCTCTAAAGACAGAGGTTAATAATAGGAGTAGAGATAGACCTTTATCTATAGTAATGCTGGCAGGTGCTGCTATACAAAACAAATGCACATAGCATACAGTGACCTATTTTCTAATCAGGGCAAAGAAAATAACACAGAGAAATTGAATTCTTCACCATCACCCCCAACCTTTAGGAGTACCTCATAATGCAATCTTCAGATCAGCAAAAATGACCATATGAAAGCAAATGTTTATTGCCTCTCACCTCAGCAAGCATCAATGATTCCTTCAGTGTTAAATAAATTAAAACTGCAAGCATTCTGCAAAACGGGCTGAAGGAAATCCATGGCAATATATAACATCAGAGGGGGATCCCCTTTTCAAGGGATAATGCAGCACCTTCCTGCCCCCCCCCAACTACTCCGCCTGCTACGTTGAAATGTCTTGGAGACAGGCCTTGATAACTAACATTGCAACATTAAGCTGTCCTGTAATAAACTCTGTATTGGGAGATCAAGCTGCAAAAAGGGTTGTTGATAAAAATATTTTGACTGGTGCCTAATTTGATTACAACCTTAAAATGATGTTCACCTGTTTTTGAGTCTCTAGTAGATTTGTGCTGGTGGTAGTTCTGGTTTAAAGACATTTTGATTCCAATGGGATTCAATTATTCATATTTGCAAAACATCTTAGGAAGCAAGGATGAAAAGGACCCTGAAACTACAAACTGCCCAAGTCAAAGTGCTTTTAAAACAACTAAAATGTTATTGGATAGGAATCGGACCATTATCTCAAACTAGACTCGTCTAGGCTGTAGTTAATGTTGGCATCAGTGTAGATTAGTGGGAGGGATGCAAATCCTTTCCATAAAACTAAAAAAAGCAAGGACAGTTCTAGCATCTCCATGAGTATCGTGCTGAAGCTGAATGCTTAATATGTAGTTTTAGATATGTGGGGAAAATGTAGTCAATCCTGTGCAAAGGTTTTTATTTCGTATTGCTTTGTATTCAAGGAACACAATTTTTCTATTTTACTCATATGAAGATTGTGATGAAACAACATGTAGCAATATTTTCAGACACTTTATGAAGAGAAAGAAGCAGGAAAGCAAATTTGTAATTGGGTTGAGCAATTTGTGAAATTTAAAATGTCCAAAAGAAATTCTTTTACAATATATGCAAACACAACTTATAGTAAGACAATGATGACACCAAGCTACACTCCTATAGCTATATGGTTTGTAAAATAATACAAAACTAATTTGTAAATTAGTTTTGAAATGGTTAAACTTACTTGAGCCTTCATAAACAAGGTTACAATTTTAATTCAACTGTTTCACTGTGCTATCACCTGCCAAAAAAGATAAAGCAGAAGAAATTATACTGAAAAAAAATATTTCCCAATTTTTTGTATTCAAATTCTGTACAAGTTTAAATCATTTATTTCTCAGCAGTTAATTGTTACTAACCCCATCTTAATTTTTGATATATTTTGCTATTTCGTGGGGGCGTTTTTTTCATTCTTTTTAAAATCTAGCAACAACATAATAGAGGCAATATAATCCTTTTATCTTTAGTTTTTAAACATTTTTAAATATTTTAAACATTTATTGTTTTTATTTCTTGGGTACATTTTATCTTGGTGGCACACTTTATAGAAAGACAGGATATAAATGTTGATATATAAACAAATAAATAGTATGAGGGAGCAATTAAGAGAGTGAAATCAACTTTTCAACTCAGTCAATAATGTTTTTAAATTGTGGTCTCAGCCTTAGACAGTTTCTCTGATGCATTTTGAATAGTTTTGAGTTACCCTTACTACATACAGATATTTTTCATAAGGAAATACTATATTCATTTTGATTCATTCACCCAAGGATATGAAAACGTGTATAAAGACACACGTTTGCATGCATGCACGCAAGCGCTCACACATGCACACGCACACACACAAACAGATGTTTCAAATGATACATATAGTTTTCTTCCTTCTTTCAGCCTTATCAGCACACAATATGCATGTAGGGAGATAAGTCAGACGTGAGTTCTTGGATAACAATTGAATGTTCAATGTAGCATAAGTTGTGCATTTACTGTGGCTGTCCATTTGTCCCTTTGGAGCTTATTCAGTATTCTAGACATCAAAGAGCAAGTTTCTCATAAATATAAAGCAATAGTGCAGGATGTGGATTCCTTGCATCCTGTTGTCAGTCCATCACATTTTGGCATAAAATCAGCCATGATGCCCCTTCTTTTTCTACAGGTCAATGTTTCTGTACTTAGCCAAGGATACTAAGTAGTTAATAGGCATAGCCAATGTGGCCTACTTACCACAAGTGCACAGGACGTTTTGACAGTCCCACCGAAGCACAATGGTGGGATTGCAGTCTATTTATTGATTTGTAAAAGAATGAAAATAATCATGTTAATGATTACGTGAAAGATGTATTTTTTTAAAAAAAAAAAATTAAGTAAAGCAAACTAGCTTGCAGAAACTATGCACAAACATTTTTCTCATGGATAGGTAAATTTATTTGCATGTGCGCATTCACAAAAATGCATTTTAGTATGAAATACTAAGATTTATTTTGCGTTTATGTCATGCAACAAATATTGTTTATCTGATATAAATAATCAGTGGTTAAAAAGAGTTAACGAACAGAAATATTTCTGAAGTCCACATTAAAAGACTAGTGTCAGATCTTATGTTCATGACTATTAACGACTCCATTATTTTTTATTATCAAGTCAGGCAAACATTTGCTTGTCCAGTGTAATTGAAAATTCAAATGAAAGTAAACAGAACAAAAAAGATGAAAATAAATTGTTTTAATATAGTGAAATGTATCTTTTTTTAAGATACTGAACTTCTTATCTACATAAGACCTATATAGAGAAAGAAAAAGGAGAGAGATTAAAAGCACACAACCAAACAAAATCAAAATGACATACTGGCCAAAACAGTATCCTTTTTGTAACCTGAAATCTTGTCAGTATTCAGTGGAAATTTTGTTTTTACAAGACCAAGTGTAAATTGGAAAAATATAAACATATGCCTTCTTAATACTTAAACATGTCCCATTGTGCAAACTTGAGATTCTTCATATCTAAGTTAAACTATAGTCACATTTACTATTTCTTTGCCAGAATATTAGCTTTACCCATGCACCAAAGTAAATTAAAGAATTAAAAGACTTCTTAGCCAGAAGTCTCATTTATATATTTGTACATATATATCCAATTAGCCAGACACTTATTTTCATGTACAGTTAGCAAATAATTCATAGTAATAACACCAGGAGGGAGAATTATTGCTAAACTGATAGTACCTGATTTTACTAATCTAATATTAGAAAATGTTGTAATGATTTGGACCAAGCCAGCTGCAGCAATATTTTATGTACTAAACTCATGTTTTAGGTTTGAAAACAATTCCAAAAATGTGGCAAGTCTTTAATGAAGGTCTACATATAAAGTATGTTAATGCTGTTGAATGAAACAAATTCGATTTCATAGTAATATATAATTTTATTTTAATATAAAATCTGGGTCTCCCTTTTGTATTTTTAAAAAACTTTCCAAACTCAGAAAAAATAAAATAAAATCACCTATAAAAATTTCAAGACTTATTTTTCAAGAAATTGTAAGCATTTCATTATTTATATAAAAAAGAAAGAGAAAACATTAACACAACTATTAATATTCTTCTTGAATAGCATAAAGTGATTTTCAAAGCTGAAAA